GGCACATTTTCTACGTAATTTTTGTTAAGGTAAGGAGTAAAAATTCACTCCTCAACTTTTTCAATGTCTGAGGTTCAAAGCTATTTTTTATGTCAAGAGCATTTTTCTTTAATTTTTGTAACATGTAAATCTTATTATTTATGGTTATTTTGAAATATCGACTACTGCTATAGTTTTGGTAAATATTTTCTTACTTAATCTAATTCCACAATTGTAATAAACTAAAACCTCATTAGGAACGCTAATTTAACTGTTGCGAATTGTTATCACCCAACGATATTTTTACAAAGTTGTTCGTCGCTTAAAATACAGAAAATAAGTCCCCAAATAAAACATTACAAGAGTGAAATAGTACAAGAAAGAAACACATGGTTCAAAACACATTACATTTGAATGATAGACGTGCACAAAAAAGCAGGGAGATAAGAAAAGTGCAACCCTCCTTCAGTTTGAATAACTTTTTTTTTTATCAGAATTACAGAAACATCTGTGGTTAATGGCTTTACCTACCCCATTGTTACACCCTGTATTAGAAACATTTTATTGACTGTAATTAATTACTTTTTCGACAATTTTGTCACAGATTGTAAAAATGATTGTAACAAGTGAAATATTTTTTACTTTTTGTTTTGTAAGTAATTGCAGTTTTCAATATTTACTAAATATAACAATGTGTTTCCTATTCCAATAAGAAATGTTTTCCAAGAACTACTTTTGAAATAATGTCGAGTTTATTTTCAGGACAATGATTCCTATAGATATAAGCAGAGAGGCAAGACAAAAACCTCCTGAAAACAATGAGAAGAGAAATAATGATAACTCTTTGCGGCTAACAGTTGTTATACTTCAATGCCATTGTTGTGTTTCTTTTCTATCGGATCCCATATTAAAAACTCTTATCTTTATTTGTAATTATTTTATAATGGTTTATTTAACCCAAAGGAGTTGAATTTGTTATTATTCTTTTAATAAACATATGGACATATTTTGGAACAAAATGTTTCATTAAAATATAGTCGAAGCATATACTGATTTAAAAATTTGAATTTCGCCTAATATTCACTTCATATCCCTCTTTCAGTACGAGGTCTGCTCAGAAAATAACCGAACTTTTTAAATTACGCGCTAATGGAGATATTTACTGATATGCGGTTGGCAGCATTGCGCTACACATAACCTCCTTTGTAACCACATGTTCTTGGATTGCTGATATCTCATTTAGTTTTCGTGATATTTTTATTGGAGTGTCACGTGTTTAAGTGATGATTTTTGAAAACATTCAGGGAAACGTTTCAACTTTTGAAACAAGCTTACAGAGATGATGCACTGAGTCGTACGTAATGTTACCAATTATTTTTACAATTTAAAGTGGTCAATTGAAAATGATCCTCGACCAGGAAGGCCTTCGACTTCAACTCCGACGTTCACAAAGTCAAAGATCTAGAGCGTGCAAATTGCCTATTGACTGTAACAGAAAATGTAGAAGAGGTTAGCATCTCAATTGGGTCATGCTATGAAACTTTGATCGAAAAATTGAACATCCAACGAGTTGCAGCAAAATTTGTTCCTCGTTTGATGATCGAATAACAGAAAGAAAATCGTGTGGATGTTTATCGGCAATTCCTTGAACAATCCAATGACGATGAAACATTCATTCAAGAAAGCTGTCCCGATCGTCAAAGTGATGCTCAATGTTTTTGCGACTTTAATGGAATTGTGCATTTTGAATTCTTGACTCAAGGTGAAACAGTGAACCGTGTGACATTTTACAAATGTTACGTGAAAAAATCCGCAAAAGGAGACCAGTGTTGTGGCGAAACAACTCATGGTTTTTGGACCATGACAAAGCGCTCGCACACTTAGTTTTATCAATTCGTTAGTTTTATGTCAAAATTCAGATTACTGTCCACCCTCACTCTCCTTGCGATTTTTTCTTATTTCCGAAATTAAAATCATCAAAGCAAATTCGTCACATACTCACATATACGGCCATTTCAAATGAAGCTGTCCAGGACTGCTTCGCGAAATGGAAACACCGCTGGAAAAATTATGTGAATAGGAGAAGGAATTACTTTGAAGGAGATAAGGATCAATAATGTATAAAGTTAAAGTTTAAAAAAAATAAAGTTCGGTTATTTTCTGAACAGGCCTGATATATTTTTATTTACATTTAATTTGTCACTGGGATAATTATCAAAATGGTTTTTAACAATGTGCTATCGCTTGGGTTCTTTAAAAAAATTCTAATTTCCACCATCTAACATGACGGACATGCTTGTATTGAATTAATAGACATAAAACAGAAATAAAGATCATTTGAATGAAAGTCTATTATTTAGCAACTGAGCTAGCTATCATTGTCAAATTTTGTCAAACTATTTTCATATCATTCAGTAATGAATTGCGTATACATAACCCTCAGAATAAGGAATTTCAAGCTAACATTGATATAAGTAATCAGCTAACATTAATTGTGGCTCTTATTTCAACAGAGCACTGGTGTGGTGCTTATCCCAGCACAACTTCTCGATTGGTTGTCGGGAATAATGGTTGTTAAATTAGTAACACATTTATCTTACTGTTTCGTAGCCGACAATTGGACAGATTGATAGGTGTATCCTCTTTGGGGAAATAAATAAAGTCCACACTCAGACAGAATAATTCGATTTAACAAAGGCAGAATTTTTATTCTAGAGGGTGTTACGACAACGTAAATTTAACAACAAAATTTGCCAGTAGGTTTGATATATGGATATAAGGTACAATATCAACGTTGCGATAAAGACAAAATGAGAAAATTGCACCGCACCAAATTTAAAGACAATTTTTTCCACAATTGGTCAAAAACTTTATTCCACTTCCAATCTTTGAAGAGTCTTATAGTTTCTCGAAATCGCTTTACTAAAAATTTTGTCATCCGAATTCTATTTGTTTCGACGAGGTAAATACGAGTATATACTAAATTTCCATAAATAGTTATAGCAAGTAATATCTTCCATACTAAATTTATCAAGACCACGGTGTTTAAATGTTGCCTTACGTTTGCAGAACAGTTAAAAATATTTTTTTAGATCTAGATCTAATGCGGAAAAACAGTTTAATCCTAATATAAATGATTATTCCAGGAAACTAAAGATTTTGAGTATCAGAAGACATGGCGAAAAAGTGATAAATCGATAAATTATAATAAAAACTAGATAGTTTGCTTATCTAAATAATTATTCAGTTAGATTTTGATTTGGTGGTTACGTCCATCGAATATAGTTATAAATTAGTGTATGATTTAGTTAATTTCTAAACTGATTATCAAAGCTCTAAAAATCCAATGGAAAAATCTGATCATAACTCCAAATTGCTTATCTAAATAATTATTCAGTTAGATTTTGATTTGGTGGTTACGTCCATCGAATATTGTTATATTAGTGTATGATTTAGTTAATTTCTAAACTGATTATCTTTCAAAGCTCTAAAAATCCAATGGAAAAATCTAATCATAACTCCAAATTCCTTATCTAAATAATTATTCAGTTAGATTTTGAGTTGGTGGTTACGTCCATCGAATATTGTTATAAATTAGTGTATGATGAAGTTAATTTCTAAACTGATTATCTTTCAAAGCTCAAAAAATCCAATGGAAAATGCGATAAAAAGAGTATATTTGGCACCAAATTTTAAAACTACTGCTATATGTACCTACATCATGACCATTAATTTGGTACTTTGAACACAATAACGTAACTTACGAGAAAATTTAGACAATCAATCATTTTAGAAGAAGACAGAATTTACAATTCTGTTTAATTCAAGTAAATGTATTGTGATCACCAATGTCAAAAAAGTAAAAATAGATGCCAAAAACTTATTTCGTATTACTAACCAATCAGACTGAATTCCATTCATTTTAAGAAATTTCAAATATTTCAATAATTCACTTGAACTTTTTCCAATGCAAATTTTTGTGAGAATTTGAGACCAATGAACGTTGCAATATTCAAACCTTGATCTGAAAATGTTTCTAATGAACTATTTTTATGAAATCTCCTACAGGTCCTAATAAGAAATCCTATTATTTCATATTATCAAAAATGACTTCAAACCTTAATGTGTGCTTATCCAATATAGAAAAATATTTTCCGGTGTTGATTTTTGCACTTAAAAAAGGTAATATTATAGATATTCAAAATACCATTAATGCATAGTCTTGATATAGTGGATTTTGAGTATGATCATAATCGGAATAATATTATATCAATTCCACACAAAAGTTTCATTTCATCTGGGGTATATTTGAAGTAACTAAAAAAAATACTCGATTTATGTCCATTATAAACCACAAATTGGATCATATCAGTTAGATATGAAACAGACATCTTCAAAAGTAGTAAGCTGAAACCCAATGTTCTAAGTTGACATCTTAAATGATTTTCTGACTTTTTTTAGTCAGCATCTATATATTCTAAAATATATCATTAATTTTTATATATAAAATTAAATCAAGTGCTTCAGAATATCGAAGATTAACAATTTCAGTTTGATACATGACAACTGTCAAAATTCTGACAAAATATGTGCGTTGCGTTTCTGGGTACCTTTTATTAGTGAAAAGATCAGTTTTAACATTCCAATTTTACCAAAATATACAAAATGGTTTCAAAGTTGGAACTGAAAACGTAAATCTCTAGGTACCCATTTGGAGTCCGATATGGTCCTTTGGAAAGATATTAGTTCTAGTGTTATTTAACTTCCCCTATATGCTTCCGAGAGATAGATACTTACCGGACACATCGTATTTCAGAAGTTGAAAAGTAGCTGAAAGAGAAAGCTCTGATTCCTGATTAGAAACCTAAAGTTGAATGAATGTAATGGAAAGGGATGATGTATCCACTCCATATATTTATAATCTATAACCCTCATATATGTATGTATGTATGTATTTCATAGAGCCGAACTTCAGACTGCATCTCCTAACGAAAGCGTATTGAAATCTTTTCCACGTAAAGTTTTTCCGCTTCCACCCCTTACCCGCGGTGGCTGCGAGCGTTGGAAAGGCGGCCACAGGAGGGGAGAATCGCATTCGACTCCGTACTCCGTCAGGACCTCAGTTAGGGCCCCGCAGCCTGCAAGCAAGCATGTCCGACGGAGCCGACTTTCCCTCTGTCATCGAGCTGAACGTCGGCGGCGTGCTATACACGACGACTCTAAAGACACTGACGAGTCAGCCGGACTCCCAACTACATGCCATCTTCACGGGCCGCGAGCCCGTCACGAGGGACGCGAAAAATCGTTACTTCCTCGACCGCGACGGTGTCCTCTTCCGGTACGTTTTAGATTTTTTACGAGACGGCAATGTAGTGCTGCCCGAGTGCTTCCGCGAGCGAGAGCGCCTGAAGAGAGAGGCCGAGAAGTACCTTCTGCATGGCTTGGTCGAATCCATATGCAGCGAGAGTCGCAACAAGCCGGCCGGAGTCATCACGGTGGGTTACCGAGGCAGCTTCCAGTTTGGTAAGGATGGCCTGGCGGACGTCAAGTTTAGGAAGCTCTCGCGGATCCTCGTGTGCGGCAAGGTGGATTTATGTAGAAGCGTCTTCGGAGAGACCCTAAACGAAAGCAGAGACCCGGACCACGGGCAGTCAGAGCGGTACACTTCCAGGTTCTTTCTGAAGCACTCCTTCTTGGAGCAGGCTTTTGATATGCTGATAGAGCAGGGATTCAAATTGGCGGGCAGTTGCGGGTCAGGAACGGCTGGAGGAGCGGCGGAACTAAAGCCAGGAGTGGATGCGGAGGAGAACCGCTGGAACCACTACAATGAATTTGTGTTTGTGCGGGAGTAGTTTGAATTGACCAAGACCTTTTGTGACATCCCCTCATATCGTTCATCTAAGGTATATGTACCAAATAAGGCCATATCAAGATTTGAGTAATTATAGTTGCTGATACATTCAATAAGAATTTATCAACTTTAGTATAACAATGTTAGTGACACAAATCTTGTTAAAATAGCAGTCTTTGACCAAGAGAGTAATACTACAAATATTTATGTTTTCAAGTTGAACTTTAAATTTCAAGACAATATATTACAAAAGTTATAAATCTTAACCTACATTCATAACAAACAAGTTTTTTGTCTTCCATATCCAATCCAACATATTCCTCGTGACTATATTATAAGCAACTGTGACAAAGGCTTTATCTTCTTCAACAATTAAACAGTACTAACATTCTTCATACTAATTCTTTTCTTTCTTTTGTTAGACATAAGTTTTTTTCGCACTAAGCTTTATTAGGGGGGCATAATCCCCAAATAAAGTATCTTTAAAAAGCACAGGAAAAACAGTCAAAACAAAATTAAATTGTGTAAAAACTTACCAAAAATGCCTTCAACAGAATTTTTCACATTTCCTTTATGGAAAACAAATTCTTGAGAAACATGAGGAGGCAGCACCTTTGGCTTTATTAAAAATTTTCAAACGAAGTTTCCTCGTTTCTTGGCATTATTCGGTGCATATACCTTACAGTATCTTCTAAGAAATAAGCATGGGTTTATACATTAATTTTTTTATTGTTACTTTGTAGTTTCAAAGATCCTTAGGATATTTCTAGAAATTAAATTAAGCCAAAGAAAATTAGGTAAACTACCCTAATCCTCTTTAAAATACCCGCATTTTAGATAATGCGTTAACATTTTTTAAAAATCGAACTGTATTAAATTAACAATGAACGGAATTTTCTTTATAACTATATCTCAACGAGTCGTTTAAAAGGAGTTCGACAATAAAAAACAATAACTTATGGAAACAGTGGCGTGGCGTGAAGTATTGATGATGGCGAATGATTTTATGAAACACGCAAACTCACCGTTAGAAAAAACTGTTTAGTCTATTTCTACACATAACTGGTTATTGTGTTTTGTACAGAATCTGAAAACAGTGCCATTAATAGACGAGAGAGTTAATGATAGCCATTCGGGTAATTGGCGTAAACTAAACGAATAACAGTCTAGTATCACATATTTTTTCCACAGAACTCAAACACAGGAGATATATAATGAGTACTGTTGTCAAAAATTGCAAAAAATTGCATTATTGATTAGTCGTGGGAAGAATCTTTAACTACTCATATAATGTAATGTACTATAAGTACATTCAAAATAAAAAACTTCTTTAGTTTTAATATAATTATAACAGTGCTTAAAAATAAAATAACTAAAATAATTGATCAAGCAGTAATGACAGATTCTAGAAACAAATGAATAAACACATAGTTCTCATTTTTGTTATACAGTTTCCAAAATTAGGAAGGGATATAGTATGAAATTTTGCCATTAATTTAGAGAACGGTGCATACTACATACAACAATATAAAGCTAATTTTGGTAGTTCTGCTAATTTGAAATAAAAAAATCAAGCAAAAAGTAAATGCAGAAACTACCTACGCCTCTGTATATAAAAAAATTGCATATACGTTTTACAATAAAAATGAATCTCACCAATTTTTTTTATAAAAATTTTACATGTAGGTAGTATTTATTTTTAAATTTAACGTTTATATATTTATATATTTTTTTCTTTATTTATGGCCCAAAAGAGTTTGTTTGACCAAGCATTTTAATTAAATCCTAATACAGGGTGAGTCAAATTTAATATCGAACAACAACAAGTTCCATAACTAAGCTTGTCTTGTTCTTTAATATGAAATTAAAAAGAATTGATTGAGATACCCACAGACATTCTTCGATTAAAGTTAAAAGTTTCAAGAAAAAATGCCAATAATTTTTACTTGGTACGGGACAGTACAGTACAATGCAGTACAATGCACTCCATATGATATTTATTGAGCTAGAATCCCAAGAAAAGAATAAACCAATAAAGTTCTGTTACCCGAACTACTGTAACAATTTACTGCGGCAGGGGAATGCCTCGAAATTTTCCGCCAATACCTTTCTACTTCGGGTGTCAAATGCAGTTAATTCTAAGAAACTGACGCAGGGGTCTTCTTAGAGTTCTATCTTAACAAATATCGTACGGGCTGTAGCTTAGGGAATATTTCTGAATATTTTAATATCTTTGTTTTAAGATGTAAAAAACGGTAATTTTTTAAATTTTGTCACCCCGTATTTCGACGAGCAAGTATTTTTGGAAAAGTGTTCATAATGAAGGATACTATTAATAAAACAAATTTCTCATTTTATATAAACGAAATGTTGCTAATATATCATTATTAACTATTGTTCATATTAAAATTACGATTTGTTTAGGGTACAATATTTCTGCCACTGTCGTATCTTTTGATCCAATAATTAAAGTCATTTTTAGGTTCTGAGATCTACATTATTAACTCTTTTAAATAAGAAATTGAAAACTGGAATAAATGTTCACCTACAAGTTGTATGAATCCCTGATAATTTAGATTATAAATTTACTTCATTATAGAAATAGCCTGCAAGCAAATTATGAAGAATACAAGGATATTTCAGAGGTGGCACTAACTGGATTAAAGATGCCTAATAAAACCATTAAAACTACCTTAAACTATAAATGGTTTATATAGTATGGCGTAGAAAAACATTTTTTTAAGATTTTAGAAATATTCTATTATAACGCTATTTTTTCCATTTTAGATACTTGAGAAAATTAAAAATTCAGTGTTTCTTAATATTTATTCTAATAACAAACTCTACGCCACTGTACAAATTCGCACATAAAACTGTTAAAACGAAAACAAAGCAGTAAAAGCAAACCAAAATTATAAACATTTCTCGCGGAAAAATAACATCTGACTAAAACTGTGTGTCTAAGTATATTTTAACCAATGTTGCAAGCTGAAAATTTGTAGCTAATATAAATTAAAATGAATATAACTAACAAATATTCTCGTTTCCTTTCGATATCTTTACTCTTACAACGTGTAGGAAAATTGCAAATGAGCTAGTGATAGTATTTAGGCTGTTTTATTAATTATTAAAAAAGGAAATGGTTGGATAAAAATTACTAAATTTTTATTGTGCGGAAATGAATGAGGTAAATGTAACTGAAAGCTTTACTTTATTTTTAAAACTGAAACACTTCCATTAGTATTTAATATGTTATCAGAATTTAATGTATTTATTATTATGTGTTTGTTATTACAAAATATTAAATGTTATTTGTATTAGGTAATAATCTGTGCGATATACGTTTTTAAAATTTACAATCTGAGTGATATGAAATGTGTTAATGTATAAACCAAAATTAATATAAATATATCGCATTAATACTATTGTTTTGTATTATACATACCTGTAAACTTAATATTAGAAGTGAATCCCATTATATCAAATTATATTTAGGAATATAATATAATGTTACTAGTCAAATCATTGTATATATTAATAATAAAATTTATTGTTAAATAAATCAAAAAATAAATGTGATTGATACCATATTTCTTGTTTATTTTTCTGCTTCTCCTGCAATGGTTGGTTTTGTATCGTATGATTGTGTTACTATCTTTAATAGTGTCTTTTTGTTTCATTAAATATACAAGTAACTTTCTAAATAATGTACGTCTCAAACATAATACAGTGACAAATATCAAAGTCATTGTAATCTGTAGATACGATAAAGCTTACTACACAGAACATATTAAAATAACAGACACTAAATAAAAAATATATTACTAAATCGTAGCGAGAATTACTGATCAAGTTACCATTGTCTAATTTTGCCATATTTTTGATAACAGACATTAACCATTAACTTTATTGTAAATTAGCACATATATTTCGTTAAATCTATAATAAAAATCAATATAAACACTAATATATAATTTTTAAATTTCTATTGTTTTGATAATTTCTTTTGCAAGTAAAATTTTAATTAAAAATCGAATTTTCAAGAGGGTTTTCAGTTTTTACAAAAATTTGCCATAATTTTGTCAGTTCCATGTTTAAACAAAAAAGGATCATTTATTTTACTATTCGGCGACTTAGCATTTTCTTATATGTCAACCAACCCTTTACGTACTTCTCTTTAAAACAATAAGAACTAGGTATTCTAAAAACGTAATAATTTGGTTTCTGGTAGTACCGCTCCAAAGATTTTGTCTAAAGCATATTTTTAGTGTTTTCTCTGTTTGTCTGAGTATTTTACCACCTGCGAAAAAAGAAATAAAAAAATGAATTCATTAAACCCTTACGTCAAAAGTATCAGTCAAGGGTTTTTATGGAATTATGTTTGCTTGAGAAAAAATTCCACCCTCAAACAAAACAGACAAATAAAAATATACATCATTAATTTAAATCAACCGCTCCAGTTAGCTGACGTTTCGAAAAATAAAATCTTTCTATTTGCAAAACTAGGAATGACATTTATTTCTGATATACAGGGTGTCCGGAAAGCACACGAAATTACCCTATTAAATTTACACATCTTTGACAACTTTGCCAAATTTAACATTTTTCTTTCGTAGTTCAATTCCTCTCTCACTTTGCTAAAAAAATACCGTATATCAGTCGATATCTTGTACCGGTTTTGAGAAAATCTTATTTTATTAACAACATAGATTTATTGTATCCAAAATGCAATATTAACATTTTTGTAAAAATCTTGGTTTCTATAGAATTAAAAGAAAAAAGATAACTGTTTAGTAAGATGTTCAATATGTGCACCTTGAACTTCAATACATTTTCTGAAATTGCTTAATCACCTCTGCTGTACTCGAAATAACATGTAGTGATCATTTCTAATAATGCGATTTTATAATTATTCCCTACTATTTATAGGAGTTTGATAAACAAGACCTTTAAGATGGCTCTAAAGAAAAAAATCGAGAGGATTAAGATCGGTAGACCGAGGTGGCCACGTATAAGGACTACCTCGACCGATCCATCGAAATGTGGTATTTAAATAAGCCCTTAAATCTCAATTTCCAAAGAAACTAAGATTTTTACAAAAATATCGTATTTTTGATACAATACATGTATGTTGTTAATAAAATTCGATTTTCTCAAAAACGGTACAAGATATCGACCGATATAGGGTTAACCTTTTTTTAAGCAAAGTGAGAGGGGAATCGAACTATGAAAGAAAAATGCCAAATTTGGCAACGCTGTCAAAGATGTATATATTTAAATGCATAATTTCGTCTACTCCTGTGCAATCCAGGCATATTGAACATCAGTTTAAACTTGGAAATTGCCCAAATTTCATTGTTGCCATGGTAACGACATAGAAGTTATAATTGGAATTTGTTTTTCAAACTTCTTTCTCTGAAGGCGAATAAGTCCACAACGAAATCCAATAGGAAAAAAAAATATATGCTACATATATTTTGACCTCCCCTGTATACCCCTTCATTTTTGACATGACCTTTCCGGACACCCTGTATATTTTAATTTAACTATCACCTAAAATGTTTGACGCAGACTGACGAAACTTGATGACTTGTTTAATTACGAACAAAAATTTGCAGAAGTTATATCAATTTGTCTATGGCGGAGACGTTAGAAGATAACGTCGCTAAGAACCCCAGATTTTGATAATTTTTTTTTTTTTAGAAACATCAACCAGAATTACATGTACTTATCCAATTACCAAAATATTAAGCAGTGACTTCAAAATTCTAGGATTTTTAGTGATGGTATCTCCCAGTATTACCGCCACTTTTTGACAAATTTGTGTCTCGCCAGGTAAAGTTTAGCATGTGCAATTTGGAACACCTTGTATGACAATTTTCCCAAGTGTGTTCCGAATATTTAATTTCTGGAATTCACGCTTTCTTGTTATATATGCAAAATCAAAAATTTGGGAAAACGGTCGTATAATTCGATGGAGTTTAGCCAAAATTCTAGAGCAGGAGAATGGTACTGTTAAAAAAAACTAAACCAGATCTAAATCATTTTATTAAACTGTGAGATATTTATCAAACTACTCCGTGAACTTGGATCCTCGATGGCCACAAATAAGTAAGCGATAATAGAATAAATACCATTTAATATATCTACCTACGAAGATAAACAAACAACATTTAAACTGTTAACCATATTTCAAAATGACTGTCATTCCTAATTTTGAGGACGAGGACAGATTGTTTCATACCTTTTCACTGATCCTTTAGACCAAGGGTTTTATTATTTTGGTGGCAAAATACTTAAATAAACAGAGGGAACACTATTGACTTTTTGATGGTTATGATTATATTAATGCGATAGTGCTACTTGAGTATACATTTTTTTTATCTCTTTTCAGAACAGCTTTAAAGAAAGCTTAAAATTTATATTATACAGGGTGTTCCACTAAGGTCGGCGAGGTCGAATATTAGAGAAAGTATAGGCCCTAGAGCTTCGGGAAAAAAATTTTTTCAATGCAGGAATTTAACCTTC